CTGCGATTCAGATCGGAATTCTGTTGTCAACGCATACTCTCGACATTAATTTTATCAAGCTACTGCTAGAAGCAGCGTACGGTATGTCATGGTGCGTAATCTATAAAATAAATATATATATATAGGGTCTTTCGCCTTAGATCTTTTAATGAAGATAATACTATATTATCAAGGATACCATAATGCAACAAGTCATCCATGGTTCCATTAACTAACACCAGGGAACAAAGTTTAACTTAAACAGACCATCACTTTGATACTACCTTCACCATTATTCACGACTTGATTGACATATTCACATACATATTCAATCAGTACGGCGTTCTTCGCTCCACACGAAAGTTTGTCATTGTTTGTCTTGCCAGCTTATTTTGTTGAAATACAATTAGACAAAACACCTCGCACTCATGGCTGTGTCGAGTGGTGTATGCATAGCATCACGTGAAATCCAGCAGCATGAAACTCTCTACACATAGTGAATAGCTGACCCACAATTCTGCAGTTTTATGAAAGTTCTGGGTGGCAGATGTAATGTCAGAATTGCGGTATGGTATCACTGACCATTTTATAATTCTTACTGATTGAGCAATGATTGATTAATTTTGGGCTGTCATGCCGATATTTCACTCTAGCACGTACACTGAGTGGTCACAAGTAAATTGTTTGTTTTTGAATTTCGCGCAAAGCTACACGAGGGCTATCTGCGCTAGCCGTCCCTAATTTAGCAGTGTAAGACTAGAGGGAAGGCAGCTAGTCATCACCACCCACCGCCAACTCTTGGGCTACTCTTTTACCAACGAATAGTGGGATTGACCGTCACATTATAACGCCCCCGCGGCTGAAAGGGCGAGCATGTTTGGTGGTATGCGGATTCGAACCCGCGACCTTCAGATTGTGAGTCGATAGAAAAAAAAAAAAAAGGGATCAACAACGAAAAATTCACAAAAAATTAGGTCACGACTAAACTTCCGTGAATAATAACTGATAATTATAATTTAATTTTACAGCAACATTCTTTGTGAATTTGAAAATTTACTTATTCCAGTCGGTTAAAAAAGTATATTTGTTGTTCTCAGGATTAAAAGTTTTAAAGACGTAATGATTGCTAAGTTGGTTTATTTAACTACTTACTTCATACATATTTTATTATATGTTACAAAGGAAAATATTTCTTTTCAACAAAGAGCTGAGCGTGGCCTATGGCTTAGCGTGCGCTGGATTGTGAGTCCAAGTTCAAGTGATGGTCAAATCCTACTTTTCGATTAGAGTAGCCAAATGATTAGCGGTGAGGCTGTTGGCTAGCTTGCTTTACCATTAGTATATCAGGTTAAAATTACGGACGACTAGCACAAGTATCCTAAACAAACTCATTAACAAAACCAAATAATTTAAGATATCTTTCCTACAAGCTTATTTAAAATATGTGAAATCTGAAAGTCAGTACTTTAAGACGCTTAAAAGAAATTTAAAAGTTTCGAGTCTGGAAAAACTTATTTAATATACATTTAGCAAAACTAGGCCTCGTACAGAATTAGATAAACACTAAAATAAACAATCAAAATGTTTTAATGACACATCTTGTTGCTAATACGAAAGGCATTTGTTATGTTGAACAGATGTCATTAGAAAATGTAAATGTCATTCTAAATGTCATTAGAAGCTCAAAAACATTCTATTAATTAGCATAAAGATTTATGAGAATATATGGGAAGCTCAAAAACATTCTATTAATTAGCATAAAGATTTATGAGAATATATGGGAAGCTCAAAAACATTCTATTAATTAGCATAAAGATTTATGAGAATATGAAGATCTACATCAAAATGTAAAAAATAAATATGAAGCCCAAAACCTATATCATTTGATTCAACACCTGACACTGATTTATACCAGTTTAGGGAAATTTGTCAGTAGTTGTCGTCCCTGGATAAGGGAAGATCGAAAAGACAAAGAATGCTTCTTATAGTGGTAAAATGTATATGTGTGTGTGATGTTTAGCATTCTTTAAATCATATAAATATAGCTTTATTGTAATGAATAAAACAACTCAAAACACCATAAACATGAAAATTTACACTTGACTAAGTTTGCCCCTGAAGAAGAAAGATCCACCTTTCGTAAGCGCTCAGGTTATAGGGTTTTTTATTTATTACACCTGACTAAGAGTTTTCATAACATATTATAGTTGATATTCTGTGGAAATAAAGTAATAATTTGGTCTTCACGATTCATTGTCTATTCAAATATTCACTTATCATTGATAGAGTGTTCTGTTTAGTTTCATTAGGTTATTTTGAGTATAAGCAGTTCGCATAAGGCGGAATAACATCTCAGCGTCAAGGCTGTTAATCTAATAATACAAGTAGATCATATCATTAAGACTGGTGATGTAGCAAAACAAACAGTTGCGATGTAATATCATGAACCACTATCGTGGTTCATAATAGGGTTCGCCCAGGAATTTCACAAAAATTATAATAGAACATACGGGCAAAAACCATCTTAAGAAGCAGACTTGCTTTTGAAACAACACTTAAGACCTTGTATCTCAATGGTTAAGGCTGCTAAAACGTTGATATTAGCAAAAAAGTTGATTTTCCGATTGTTAGACAAAATTCAAAATTCACCCACTTATTCTTCATATTATTATTATTCATATTATTTTTGCTAAAGAAAAGTGGCTATGAGTATTTTATTCAAACCTCAGTAAACCTATTAAAAAAAACTCCTCCGCAGGTCACAGGACTATCTTTATGTCGATTCTTGAAAGAGAAGAAGAAATGTTATCCGTTTATTCATCGCTACTGGCCAAGTTTATCTTCGAAGCCATTCAAGCACCGAAGCCTACAGCAAAAAACGGCTAGGTATACTGCACCAAAATCTATGCACAGCTACTAAACAAACTCCTGCAAAGGTTGAAGAGCAATTTTTAAGTTGGTTCTTGAAAGTCGAGATTTCCACCTACTAAAATGTTCTAAATTCTTCTTCGCTACCAACATAAACTCTTCGCAGAAATGTAGAAGCCATTTAAGCACGGTTAAACTAGTCAGAAATCCTCGTTTTATTAGAATAAACAGTGTACATATTTACAAAAGTGTCTACAGCCTTGTTATTATTGATCATAGTTTTACAAGTCGCTACAGATAAAACGGCTAAGAATAATTTACTGAAACCTGGATAGTAGTAATGAATGCAGTATGGAATATGTCACAGGATAGTTTTAACTTTAATTTCAGCGCCTTCGGTTTTTTGCTCTGAAGAATTTATCTAAGTCCTTCACTTTTCACATTGAAAAATTCCGGTGTTTCACTAATGTGCATTAATTGGAAAAGAATTTGTGCAACTTATAGTGCATTAATTGGAAACTGTCACGTTGAGGATTCATAATTTCTCTAGTTCACTGTTGTACTTTGTCTCTACTTGGTTTTCTGCAACTATTTCAGTGAGTTTTCTAATAGTAGACGATTACCATAGTAGATTTCTCTCCTTTTATGAGTGATAATTTATTCCACTGATTTTCGTACTTCGCTTGTTAGACGCGTGTTTACGAAACCTCAGACACAAAACCACCTGGCTCAATAAATAGTGTTTGGGCGGGAAAAAAGCTAATGCAGCAGTAAACAGCTGAAAAACATGTAACATTCAACTGAATACATATGCATACATAAGTAAAGTAGACAAGGAATTGAATGTGAATTGTAACTTGAGAAGATAATGTATTTCCAGTCTAGTTTGTTTAGTTTTTTTAGAGTCCCTAGTTATAGGCTTGAAAGTATGATCTTTACATTTTGATTCAACTTGTTTCTGTACATTTCTGACGATCCCTAATCCCCTTTTTAAATTAACAATTTTTAATTATCTTGTAATCCCTTTGGATTATTATCGAAGAAGGCAAAATAAAATAAAATTTTATTAGGATTTTTCTATACAGAATTTTTATTGGGAATGAGTAAATATATTTAGCAAAACAGTAACTTTCTCTTTTATTTAAATAGTTAAGGAGGGTGAAAAGGGGTGTCGCAATATAGGCACGTGTATGATTGTTTAAATGCTTCATTAAAAAAAAAGAGATTAAAATACATCTCTGTCAAGGTCTTTTGTAGTTGATTTTTGTTGTTGCTGTTTTTTACATCATTGTCATTTCAGTGAAGGAAACTAGAAACTCCAATAGGAAACGAAAAGATACCGAATACATATTGTACTTAGGTAAAGTCTACAATGTAGCTTTAACGAAGTACAAAGAACAGAATCAATACATGATTCTTGGATATTTCATAACTAAGAAAGTATTAAAATAAAATTATTCATTGTCCATGTACATAAAAAGTAAAGTAACTATAAAACTAAGCCAGTCTAGAAATATGAAATACTGTAAAATAATCTTCTCAAACAGTGGTTACATGTTTTAAAAACTAGAGAAGTAAAATTGAAAGTTTTTTTGAGGACTCTGGGCTGAAAGATTACCAAACTTGCACAGCTCTAATGCAAAGACAAAAGTTAGTATTGATTTGTATAAATTAAATGAAATATAGATAAATAAAGATTAGCAATAAGCTAAAAAATCGTTGAACGTTTTCTGTTCGTTTGTTTTATCATTAATAAAAGTCCATATTGACTTGTATATTATGAAGGTCATCTATAGTTTTCATACTTAAACTGGAATTTCAAGGAGGTACTTAATATTACGCATTAGCTAAATGTACAGCAAGCTAACGTACAAATACAGCATGGTGACCCTGGTGCTTTACTTAATGTTAATTATTCTGATGCAATAAAATATACAAGATTTCTAAAGTTCTAAATAGGAAAAAGAAATGCGTGGACATGTGATCTGCAAGATAGGGAAAGAAGAAAGAAATAGTTGACCACCTTCAAAGTAAGGTGCAAACTATGGAGAGAAAGAGAGAGAGAGAGTTAAACACATACAGGTATTTGTCAACATGCATTCCTTTACAATAATGTGAGGGTATAAAAGGATTTAGAAATCAGCTAACAACACATTTCTCTCTAAGAACTAGAGACACCACCAGAAACCATGAACACTTTGGTAAGTTATAATTTATTATAGAGGCAAGTTTAGCCTCCTGACGTTCAAAACTGTTTAAATTATATCAAAATATAAAACGCATTCTTTTTGTTTCTTTTTACTAGATTGTTTTTCTCGGTCTCCTGGCCTACACCCATGCTGGTCTGCTAGGCGCTGGTCTTGCTGGTCGAGCTGCTTTTGCTCCGGCTGCTTTTGCTCCGGCTGCCTTTGCTCCGGCTGCTGTTGCTCCCGCTGCTGTTGCTCCTATCGCCGCTTTTGACGCAACTGGTGCTGTTGCTGCTGCTCGGGGCTTGGCTGCACGTGGCGTTCCCGTAGGACGAGCAGCTGCCTCCGTTACCCGTATTAACCACGGTGGTGTAGGTTTGGGTCTTGGCGTTGGTGGCTATGGACTAGGACTGGGAGGTGTTGGCATTGGCGGTTATGGATTAGGACTGGGAGGTGTTGGCGTTGGTGGTTATGGACTAGGACTGGGAGGTGTTGGCGTTGGTGGTTATGGACTAGGACTGGGAGGTGTTGGCGTTGGTGGTTATGGACTAGGACTGGGATATGGCTATGGTCTCGGCTTAGGAAAAGGTTTATTACATTAAAGCCTCTGCTCTGACTTAAGGTAAATATTTTCAAATGAAACAAAGTCATATTTACGTCATTATGTTTTCTTTTGATGGCTATCAATTTTATTGTCTAATCAATACTAAGTGAGTAATATTTAAGAAGCCGAGTGTTCAGCATAAGAGTAATTCATAAAGTGTTTTGATAATCACTGATGAAAGGTTAAGTCTAAGAAAATAGGCTTTGTTACTTTTTATTTACGGTTTATGAAAGATTGATAAATAAGGATAAACAAACGCATATTTTGTTTCTTATATATGTCTTTATGTACATTTCAGTGTTATCGATCTGCTGTCGTCAACTGAAACTTTCTGTGTTAATCCACTGATATTTGGGGATGTAAATTAATTCGTGTATCTTCTTAAATAAACGTTTTCAAGTTACTGTTGTTGTTTTCAAACTTTTTTCTCCACGACACTATAACCACAATATAAATTTGTTGATAAAACACGAATTAGTATTCTATGTTATTGTTAATTGGAGATATTTTTGTTTCCACACAGTAGCAATTGTTTGAAAAACTGTATTCATGTCACTTTATAGCCCATACAGTAATTCGTGTAACACTGTTTTTTTGTTTTTTTTGGCGAATTATATACAGCTAATAAAAAGTATGAATTTCATGCATAAAAAATACTTTTACAAATTGAAATAATAATATTTCGAAAATTATATTCACAAATTCATTTATTAAAGTAATTCAATTATAATGACTGTCTTGGATGGCTCTAGCATAGAAGAATTGTATCTGTGGCTTTCCATCACAAATAACGAAATTTACATTCTTAAAATAATCATTGCATTAGTTCAACCACAGTCTAATACGTATGAGTTGTATAAAAATGTAATAAAATGGGAATTATTACATGTTGTAACTGTTGTTGTGCGCACCATTACATGACAGTAACGCGTTACTGTGCAAGGTTATTTGAAATATTATATTTGTACGGAGTTTGTAAAATAATAATTCAAAGTTTGAGTTATTAAATTACTACTTTTATATTGGCCTTTTACGTAGATATTCCTTTAGTACATTATTATGGTAAGTTAGTTCAGATTCTAGATTGTAGTTTATGTAGTGTGTGTTTGATTCCGTAGAATTGAAGTTTGACTACACATGTACATAAGCAAATTGTACATATAAATAAAACATAACATAAAAATACCAGCCCGTCATGGTCAGGTGGTTAGTGCCCTCGACTTACAATCTGAAGGTCGCGGGTTCGAATCCCCGTCACACCAAAAATGCTTGCCCTTTCAGCCGTGGGGGCGTTATAATGTGACGGTCAATCCCACTATTCGTTGGTAAAAGTGTAGCCCAAGAGTTGGCGGTCGGTGGTGATGACTAGCTGCCTTCCCTCTGCTAACGCAGATATCCCTCGTGTAGCTTTGCGCGAAATTCAAAACAAACAAATAAAAAGTTTAAAATTTAGACTCCGTTTAGAAAGAAGCACCACAATTCAGTAAAAAAATAACACAGTTAATCTTCTATAGTTTGATATTGAACAAGCCATGCTTGAACATTTAAACCAAAACCAGTTAAACGAAAATCAAAAATGATCTACCCTGAGAGTTCAAACCAACATCAGGATATTTGAGTGTACTAATAGATACTGAAAAAAAATTGCTTGCACGTTACTAAACTCAAACACATAATAAATGGATACACTGAGAATAAGTAAACAACATAAAGTCAAAACAGTAGTAATAAGCCACAACACCATACGACTGCACTTAGGGCACACCAAAATTCAATACCCTTAATGGGGAGCAAAAACATTATTTACAACGTGGAGTGGACTCCATTACAATGAAAATACAAAACGACAACAAAAATTAATATCACTTTCTGATCACAGCAAGCTAACTGCATAAATTAGAGCGTTTTTACTTATAATTATTGGAATTGTTTCTTCATTTGGGTACATTTGATGTCAGTGATATTGTCCCGTAATTCTATTAATATATGGTAAGTTCAGCCAGCTTAGGAGATTCAGGTTAGTCTAAACTAAATCCATATATTAAGCTAACAATGCGAAATAATCCTTATCATAAAGAATATATAATAATAAATATTGAACATAATAGCATCTAATATATTCTGTTTTATAACATTTTAACACCATTCACAAATATTAAGACTATGCAATAATATAGAATAGTTCAAAAATAATTAGATATACATTATATACGAGTAAAAACTAAATAAAAGAAACCTTCTACATCTATCCACTTAACCGAGGCAACCTAACATAAAAGTAAGTAAAATCTGGATACTCTTCTTGAAAACATTCAAATAATTAAATTCAAACCCATAGTAGCGGGCCGTCTTTAGGAAATCTACGACTAAAAATATATTCGAGGCTATTAAAGGAACAATGTGTGTCAGTCATTCCGTGTGTGTATGCGTGCTAACTCACATGGAAACCCAGTATTCCTATTGGCTAATTGTACTGGGGTAAGTCTACGTTTATAAGAGTGCAAAATGAACGACGTTTAACGTACATTGTTCAGTACGAGTGCAAAATTACATATATGTTTATAACATAACCTTTAAAGACGATTAGTTCAGTAACATAAACAAACACGCAAGGAAACACATTAAGATAATTTTTTTATCTTTCCATGGCCTATAAATAACGCAATACCATTATATCTCAATACAAATTCTAATAGAGCCATAAAACTCGACAATTAGGCCTAAAGTTTAAATACGCTTCATACGCGAAACACAAGTTTACTCCCTATATAATCTATGGCACTGAGCCATAATAGTCACTGTCACAATTTCTTTCATTTTCGATGCTCTACAGTCACCACATTGGGCGAAATAAAATAGTTACGCTAAGTACAGAGGTATTCATCATAGATGCGGCGTGTGACACCACTGGCATGGAAACGGCAAGATTCGTACACTAACCGGTTCTGAAACCACACCTCAATCCAATAAGTATACGTGCCTTCCTTTATAAAGTGAAAGCTACGGTCACGAAAGAGAACTTTCCGATCCAATAAGCTATTGTAATAGATCTGGTTATATCTCTCAGTATCGTTCAAAAGTAATAAATAAGGATTTGAACTTAAGACTCATAAGCTTCAAGTTTACAAGATTCAATTCACACCTTGAAATAAAAGGCTGTTCTCATGAGAAGGACTGTTCCAAAAACTAGACTAATAGCAACCCCGTTCGACTATATATTTTCCATGTTCTCCAATATATCTACTACGGAGTTTTGTGCCGTTTTTAGATGTTGAAAGTAGCTCCAAAGGTAACATGTGACATGGAACATTGTTCTTATAAAGTGTTATCAATCGAGGTATATAAGCAAGTTTTGCTAAAAGAGCAAAAATGTTTTTCACTAAAAATTGTTTTCAGTTTATCTGTAAGAAGTTGCGCCCCATTAACTATTTTTATGAGAGATACATTAGCACTTGCAATGCCAAAAAGTGAAATAAATGTTTTAGTGTAAATTATTTTTCATAAGCTTCGTATAATATCGTATATTTTAGAATTAAAATATTAATAAACAAACATTTTAATAATAAGCTATTACATAACAACCATTTGAAAGTATCTATGAAGAACACAAGCATGGTATAAAGTTTGTTGGTTTTAAATTTCGCGCAAAGCTACACGAGAGCTATCTGCGCTAGCCGTCCCTAATTTAGCAGTGTAATACGAGAGGGAAGGCAGCTAGTCATGACCACCCGTAGACAACTCTTGGGCTACTATTTTTCCAACGAATAGTGGGATTGGCCGTAACATTATAACGCTCCTACGGCTGAAAGGGCGAGCATGTTTGGTGGGAAGGGGATTCGAATCAGCGATCCTCAGATTGCGACTCATGCACCCTAACCGCTTGGCCATGTCAGGCCAATGGGATAAAAAAAAATAAGTTGTTTGAACTTCAAACTGTATAGAAAGCTGTTTGATATTGTAAGAACATGTTTTAAAATCATATAAAAGAAACCTTTCTTGTTTTCTTGTTTTTTCATAAGACATGTTCATGTTTAATACGGAACTGCTTTCTGTCTATATATCTAAAGCTGATTTCTCTCCACAATTATGTTACGTAATTGGCTATACGTTTTGAAAGTAATATATATATGTATATGCCGCAATACGACGATCCTATTTTAATATCACAGCATATACAATAACCATTTATAGTCTATTCGTTAAAGAAGTTTGTGTTTATATGTCAATGACGCAAGTCTTCCAACTACTCAACTCTAATTACAATGAAACTTTTAGAGCTCCAGATGGATTCTATTACGTTTCTACATTTCCTCATTTATGCGAGTTTAACACTCACTTCAATTTTTTTTCCTTATTACAGCCTTACTGCCTGCTTCAGGAACTTTGATCGCCACGAAACTCCCAAGACTTCTTTATGGGCATAGCCCAGATCTCCATGACACGTAGAGAAACACAAATTATATAATATATTCAGACTAATATAAATAAACTGGTCAGTGGAAATGAATGCTTTAAAATATTATGTAAATGTGCATGGCGACTGACGTACGAGCACACTGTCACCTTCGCTCGTGAAATAAACGAAATAAGTGATACGTGTGCCGCTCGCGGAAGCCTTTGCTAGTTAATTAATATAATATGTATAATATTTCACCGTGGTATATCCACTGTTGACCAAGCTCTAGATTCTAATGAAGGTCAGCCACTTTATCTCTAAATACTGGTTCCACATAAACTTATGAAGATTAAACAGTGCCGCACCAATTTTAATGATGCAATAAACGTGCTTGATTTCACTAACAAACCAGTTATTTCAAGCAGAAGGCAGGTGTTCGAATTAAGTTCAGTGAATATTAGAACAAAAAAGAATGACATAAGGCGAATTTCTAAATTAAAATTTTATGCATAAAGTTACAAGGTGATTATAACGATATGAACATTTAACGGTTTGCATGTAGTAGCGGATACAAAACAAGGTCGAAGAAATTACATTTGGTTGGTTTTTTATGGTTAGATAGGCTTAGTGACTATGTGTAGACTAACTTAAAAACAAAACGGAGAGTTGCCTATTAAAAGGCCTTACCAAATCAAAACACGTTTTGTTTGTTTGTTTGTTTGTTCATCACTTTGTTTGAGTGTACACATGCTACTTAGTAAATGCTATTAAACAAGGATAAAAAAAAAAGAGTACGCTTTAAGATATTCTTTCATTATTAAGATTTTTTTTTCTGTTACTCAAGCCTGAACGAAAGCATTATTAATGCTTTCTACAGCAACAAATTAAAGCGTTAACATACGAACAATATCACCATGAAAAACTAGACAAAACTAAAACCATTTATGCTGTAAAATTACCTAATATATCTCTTATTACATTTAATAATTTACTTACGAACATTTACGG